CCATTCACGGAGGGAGAAGGAAAAAAAGGGAAAAAAGGACCCTTGAGTTAGTGCTGAGGGGTTTAGGAGTCGCCCCACCCGCACCTGTATGGTTTTGGGGCGATTGGTTGGTTGGTTTTTAAGGCCTTGCAGCCCAGTATTTGAAGAAACACTTTGTATGTTTATACAAATGAGTATGTTTTTTTCTGTATGTTTGGTTGTACTGTGGGGTGATGCGGGCCGTTTCTCATAAATAAAACATAGGCTCGTTGGTGATGTCCTGACTTTCGCTGATCTTCCTTCCCTCTGGCTTAGTTAACTGAAGCTGGGGACAGTAGCAGCTTTGCAATCCATTGGCGCTCTGTATCAGACAGTCACAGTTGATGTTAGAAAGCAGGTAAGGTCTTGTATATGCATAAAATTAGTAAGACAAAAACTACAGTACATGGCTGTCCAGGATTTACTGTTTGTTGGTGTATGAGGAACCATGTCCATGCTCACAGAGCCACTTTTCATGAATTCTTGTTAAGGTGAATCAATACTGGGTGGCCAGGCTGCCTGACATATACAGGCATGATACAATAAACATGATACAATGTTTATTGTTCATCTCTTTTCCTGAATTGTGTTGTGATAGAGGCTACTGGAAAAGGTGGTAACTGAAGAATAATCTTTCCCCTGTGACTAAATTTGTCTTGGCTTAGCCCTCTTTTGAATATTTAACCTGACTTCTAAGCCTCCAAGCATTTTCACAAATGCATGTTGTAGCAACCAGAGCAAGTAAGGTAAATCCAGGCACTGTGATGGATATACTTTAAGTAGGTTTTACGTGGAAATTAAGCATGTTTTTGGATTCAGCTAACACTGGGGCCTTTTGTTTTTCTTGAAGCCCTATTCCATCTCTGGGGAAGGCAATTTTTATTCTATTGTTTGTGTGAGATGTGTAGAAAACTTAGGAAATGCACATGGACTTATGGAGAGTTGGATAATATCTTCAGAGACTGTCAGAATGGATTTCCTTCATTTAAAATTGTGCTGTTTAGGTAATACATTAACACTAGGTGATCTGTATTATCCATTTTTAGGAACAGATATGCAGTTTAGTGGACGAGCATGTGGAATTCACTGCAACTCGTTTCAAGATGGTTCTTTGGAAGAGAGGATGGCTGCTTTGAAATTTCTGTAGTGTCTTTTTATTAAAGGAGAATTCCTAGGAGGAGATACTATTCTGTCTGCAATAATAATACTTCTTATTAGACACAGAATCAAATCTTTGCATATAGTCTGTTTAGGATAATTTATTGTAAAGCACTGACATCTTTGAAACAAGTAACCAGTCTTTGCATCTGCATTACTGAAAATATATAAGGTAAGAAAGCTATTATAATTATTTCTCTACTATATGTAAGATGATAGACATATAGAAGTATAGATGATATAGATATATATGTATTTGCATGATTAGAGCCTCAAAAAGAAAATAAATTCTATTGAAAACCTGGAAATGAAGGGAAAAGTCTATTCTAGTGAAAGAAAATTTCATAATTCAATACAAACTTTATTTTTTTGCAGAGGCAGCAGGATTGTGACTTACGCTTATACAATCAGCAACTGGAAAAAATGCCAGGTTCTAAAAGTAACTTGGTGTCTTTACATGAGGATGTTATAAATGATTCTTCAGACTTGAGTGAAGTGAAAATTTCAGATGAAAAAGGATCTGTTGAAAAAAGAACAATGACTCTGATTGAGAAGAATGGCTATCACGACTCTGTATACATAAACGCAGCTAAAATTTTTCAAGGCATTCATACTGAAAAGTGTAAGGATAGAATATTGGTGCGGTATGGTGATGACTCAGTATCATCTCCCCTACTGACTTTTAAAGATGAGCATTCCCAGCGTGTATCTTATGAACTGGCTTTCAATGCTCTAAAATGTAAGTACAAAACTTTTCCAAGAATTGCCAACAGAAATGATGCAGCAGAGAAAATATGTAAAACCAAAGTGTTTAGTTTCTGCCTGGCAGCAGAGAGCTGGGGAATTTTTTGTTAAACTACAGGTTACTACTGGAGTACTCGTATCCCTCAAATATTTAAATATATCTAAGTGTTGTTAGCATTTTGTGAAATCAAACATTTAAACTCTATACTTTTTCCTGTAAAGGAATTGTGTAGAGTTGTTACTGTTTGTGATGGAATTTGCCTTTAATTTTCATGATGTTAAAACTTTCAGCTTTTTCTTTAGTGATTTATAAGTTTTTCTTTCCTAGAATCTTGTAGATTTCATAGTGTAACTTGTTGATATTTTATTTTTTTGCAGATCAAGATCTTCTTGAAGAAATATTGTTAGATAGCTGTTGTTATCCATGCCAGTCAATAGTAAGTGAATATTTTTGTGAGGAAATAACTTTGTTTTCTAAGTTGATGTAATTAGAATCTTTTCTGAGGATTCTGCAACATTCTTCACAACAGCATTTGTTGTTTTGAATGATACAGTAGCCTGAGACTGAAATATTGCTGTCTTTTTTTAGTTAGTAGTCTAAAGCATCAATCTCCAAGGTACTAGTTGTGTTCTTTGTGAGATTATTGTTGCACCTGACTGCTGGGAATCAAAACCTTCAAAGAAAGAAGGTAGGAGAGTGAACCATAATGCTTACTGCAATACTTGCTCAGTGGTGTTGTCCATGAGCCAGTCCATGTCTGTGTGCTTTCCTTCACTAGCTGTGTCCCCTTGTGAGTGGGTAAAATAGTTTTATTCCTTTCCTGTCCCTGGGAGTTGTAAAGCATGAGGTGAACCCCATCGAACAAAAAAAATACATTGAACCTATGTTTCATTTCCTGGGCAAACTGTATTGTATACAAATATTGTACTTGTACTGGCGAAAATTGGTCCAGTTTACTCTCTCAACATGCTTTCCTGCTTTGACATGAAAAGAAAATCTAGAGCTGGCAGAGCAATCTGCTATTCCTTCCAGTTTAGTTTTTGTTGCCCTTGACAATGACAAGATGAATTTGAACTGATGTTATTTGTGGAGATTGATGTGAGCAGGCAAATGATCTAACGTTTGATTTTTGGCTTGTTTTTCTAAGGAAGTAAGACTTACGTGGTAGCATTTTGTGTTTGGTGGTATTTCCCTAATAACTTGAGTTTTCTAGGTAATTTTAGTCATATTTGTGAGAAGGTAAGAATTTTTGAAGGCATAAGAACTGTAGGAATTTCATGAAAAGATGTAGACAAGAGTAACTGAAGTGCTGTTAATTACTGTCCCTAAGAAGGAGGTGCTCACTGTTTTAAACGTTTAGACATGGGAAGGAGATTTTACATATGTCCTAACAGCAGAATGGTTATTATAACTGAGCTTATCGGTTGTTATATACTGAAGAATCCCACAAGACACAAGTTGATAGACAAGAAGGTTTTGATAGCTTAGCTATTCAAGGAACTACTTTATGAGGAGAAAATAATTTCAAAGTTTAAATTCTGATAACGTTAAAAGTTGTTAAGATATAGTATATTATCTGTGTGTATGGAGAATGTTTTTAATTTTGATAAAGTAATTAACTTATTAACTCTTGTGTATTTGAGTTTTTAAAAAATCCTTCAGTGTTTTACTAACTCTCCATGAGGAATTACTGTAATGTTCTTACGAATAAGCATTTCATTGGAGTTTTTAATGCCTCTTCCATGGGAGACTGCCGTTTGATACGGATCTTTTTGCAGAACTAAGGCATTCTTTGTGTCACTTCATCCTGTTGCTTTTCTGTTGCAGCCAGATGACTTAACCAGCTTGCTTGTTGTGATGCTTTATGACCTACAAGACCGAAAGTTTCAAGCACGAGAGATTTTTGATGAAGGGGAACCTGTAGCAGAAGTTCAGAAAATAGAGCATTATTTATACAGGTATACCTGTATGGAACTTTTTTTTAATTGATATTTATTAGCAGAAATACAGATTTGTATAAGCAGTGCTTTTTTTTATATAATTGTCAATATTATAGATGTCTTTCAGCTTCAAATTTTGTGGGCTTTGTTTTTATTTTTAATGAGAACCTTGTTTGAAGGGAAGCTTTCATATTCCTGTAGTTAAAGAAAATATATCTAACAAACCATCTATATCTTGTGGATTATTTTGCTAGAAAAAGGTATCTTATTTTGGAGTTGTTTAAACTTTTTTCATACAATTTTAGAAAAGAAATTAAATAGTAACCATTCATAAATATGAGCATAATAAAGTCAGGAGGTCATGGAATGGAATAATACCCACTTATTTAGCAATACTGCTATTATGAAACTTTGTTAAATTATTATTTTAAGTAATTAGAACAAAAAAAATGTGTAATAAGCATTTTAAGTATTGTTCAAGTATTTCTTTTGTCAGTCTGCTGATGAACTCAACAGGCATTTGTTGGACAAAATTGTGTTGCTGCTGGATTTAGAACAGCCCAAAAAGTTAATGAATATCATAAGTGCAAGGTATTCCTGGAGGACAGTAATAAATATACCTTGACATCTGAAGTAGCTTACCAGCAATTTTTATTTGTATAAAAATTTATATTTATCACATATCAAAATTTATGCATAAAGTGAGAAGAAAAGACTAGGAATATTTCCTCTGAGATTTTAATGTAATAATAATAAAACTGACTGCTGATTGCCATCGTACTTGTGTTGTTTCTCTAGACATTTAGAGGTCAGTTTTCATCAAATGCTCATTCTGCACATATGTGTAGCTATATATTCAAACATACCAAAAAATCTGATGATTGTATTCCACAGATTGCAGTTCCAAAATATTTGGTTTTTTAGCTGAGAAAATTGCCGTATTTGAGTCATCTGTTATAATTCCAGTCCTGCGTGCATATAAGTAAAACAGTGGTAGCTATGTACTACCTTGCATCTACTGTTGCCTGGCGTAGGAAATGTTCTATAACTGTGTATTTTCTTTAGCAGCTTGCAAAATGAGGCCACACCTTTAGTTTTGTTTTTTGAGCAAGATAGTATTGTAATACAAATATTGCATGTTAATGGCTGGTGTAAACATTTATAAAACTTACTCAACTTGTGATTTTGTTTTTGTAGTTTTAGGACCAAATTGGCAGCTGCACTAGCAAGATGTCGCATCAAACATGATGCTCTTTCAATTGAATACATTCTACCAGAAACCGTACGGAAGCAGCAACAAAGGGCTTCTGCTTTACCTTTGTATGTTTGGATAAACACATTTAAAATCAGGTAAGGTCTTAAAGTCTCATCTAATACTGACACTTTACATATGAAGTGATATAGTTTACTACAGACTTGTTTTAGAATTTCCAGGTTATATTATGACTAGTATTTTAAGTGCCTTACAGTAAATTCTGCTTAGTCCAGCAACATTGCCTTATGTTTATTTTTAGTTTTTCTATATTCCAGTAATGGTATTCATAAACTGCAACAAAGTTGTGAAACAGTTTTTCTAGCTATTGTGTTGCTTGTGTGGGTCTTTCACCAAATAAATGAGGAAATAGTTAGAAGAAACTATATAGGTGAGTAAACTCTGTGATGAAAAATAGAGAAAGAGAAAACTTCTTCAAAGTGGGTGTATATAATAAAACTTCTATAAAAGTGGGTGTAATGTAAGCCATAACATTGGCAAGATGTATTAAGACAGATACAATACTTAAAACTGGTGTTTATTCTGTAAGGATAGTTGAAACTTAAAATAAAATACACTTTTAAAACTCCTTATATTCGGTGGGCTACTAGATATGTAACACTGGTGTTCCCAGTTCTGTGCTGATACATGAACCATACCAGGTTATCCTGTTACCTATTTTGTTAGACAGGTAATCCATTTCACTGTGTTTTCAAGAATTCTTTTTTTCATACTTTTCTCTTGGACCAGTGTTGTGTGCTTAGGTTGTAGGCTCTTGAAGATAGAGAAGGTATCTTACTCTTAACACACCAGCTTTCAGCTCAGTCTTAGTTTGACCTTACGTTTAATGTACTATATAAGCTTATGGTACTGTCTGAAACTGCATTTCAACAAACAAGTTTTGGTACAGTCTTACCTTTAAAGACTTTAAAGTCTTACCTTTAAATCTTTATGATGTTTGAATTGCAAACCTCAACATTTTACTGCCCTCCCTGAGTCCTCAAACAAGGGATCTCTGAATTCTGCTGATAGAATTATGTCATATTTATTTCAGATATCAGCCATTAAATTCATTGGCAAGCTGGGCTAAATTGAAAAGAATTGAAAGAACTAAACTATTCCAGCGGTAAATTTGCTACAGCATCTCCTGAGCACATGGACATTCATGTTTTGATGCTTTGAATCATCCTCTGGAGACACATGCCCCTTTCTTAATTTATTTTATCAGACTTACTAACTTCATTGCTTCAAAACAGAATTTATGTGTCTAAAATAGAGTGAATTCCCCTCTTGCATTAGGCAGTATTCTATTTTATATATATCCACACACACACATATGCACATATGTACATACACTAAAAAATCAAAAGGCAAAAATCATATAATCAATGTGAACTATACTGCTTAAGTATATTTAATAGTCAGAGTTGTATGTTAACAGCCTTCAAGATGTTTTCAGAGATTTAAAGAAGAAGGGATTCACAAAAGTTGAAACTGTGTCAGACTTTGACCATTATACGTACTGTGTGGACCAACATTGCCATGATGTACTGGTTTTTCCTTCCTCTCTTAAAGAAGAACTGCTTAATTTAGATCTTTTTGCAGATTGCAAACTCTTACTGCAGGTGAGTTGATGTCACCCTTGAGTAAAATGCTTTGCATTAGAATGAGGTCATGTATTGTGTGACCGTCCTGTTAAATCAGTCAGGCAGCAACATACTCTCGTTTTGGATGTTTTTAATAATCAGAAGGTTAGAAACTGTTTCACTTGCTAAATTTAGCATGCAAATATTAATGCTTATAATTGATAGCTACAATTAAGTTACTAGAATGTTTTAAATTTACTCTTAAAACTGTTGAAATAAACATCAAAAGTGGTCAAAAATGGTCAAAGAGGCAGTCTCACTTCTGAAAATGTGTGGAAAAGAAGGTTGGCATTTATAGCAAGCAAATAAGTTGGTCATACTTGATTTTTGTGTTATTATTTTCTAGGATAAGTCTCGCAGCCTTGCTGTACACTCTGCACAGGCGCTGTTGAATACAGGTGATGACATTATAGTGGCTCACGTAGATTCCCATCTGACCATTGTCCATATGTCCGTGCTGACAAATCACAGCATGTCCAGGATTTTTGTTTGTGGTGTGAAATCTTCAGCAAAAGCAGCAGAACTGAGGAACTTGTTCAGTCACATGGGATGTAACGGTAGGTGTTAAAACAGTTGGTATGCATAAAGTATTGTAATGTAGATGTTTGTGTTAGCTATAAATATGACATAATTCTATCAGCAGAATTCAGAGATCCCTTGTTTGAGGACTCAGGGAGGGCAGTAACAACTTATTTGTCACAAGGTGAACTGACAGCTCTTCAGCTACAATGAAGCTAACCAAAGGTTGCAGATTAACCATGTCATAGATGCAGACTCCTGAAATATTTCTGGTGAATTTTTCCATATAAGTAGTTACTGTATAGCAGTTGGTGTAGCTGGGAACTTCTGGGTCTATTTATTTGGTGTCTTGGCTGTTGCTTTCAGTAGGATTTTCAGCTGTTGAGAGTGTTAATCCAAAACCTATGCACTTGTCCAGTTTACCCAGAGGACATGATCAGAACAGAATGCAAGAAGATGCTGGAACCCTATTAGCAGTCTGTTCAGTGGAAGATGTTAAGGTGTAGCCAGTCCTTCAATCTGTTTGAAATCAGTGGGGCATACTTTGGAGGATCTGGGTCTAGCAGGCTGTAGCTCTATAGAAGTCTGTGTACCACCACTGTCTTGTCACCTTTGTCACATTAAAATTAGGCAGGCTTGCTTGCATGTAGAACTGTTGAGTTTTTCCCATTTTTCCAGATGTTGAGTTGTTACATGAAGACTTTACTGAGATTGGACCAACAGACCCGCGACTTCAAAAAGCAAAAGTTATTTTGCTGCTACCACAATGCTCTGGGCTGGGTGTTGGCAATCCAATAGACTTCATTTTAAATGAACACAGAGGTAACTCTTGATACAATGCTTTCTAGTAGAAAAGGTATTAAAATATTATAGTCTGGACATCGTGGCTGCTTCAGTAAATTGTATCATTTTATAAAAAAACACTTTCCTTATTTTAACTACTATAAAACATACATATTAAATAATTTGCATAATTTTGTGTGTCTGCTTCAGGTCGATAGTATGAAGTTTGAGGGTTATTCTGGGGAGCAGAGTGTATATATCCTTTCTTTTGAAGTAAAAAGACTAGAGGCAGAAAATTTATTTCGTGATACCTATATGTGTATATAATTTTCCATCAATTACATTCCTTTATTGACTCTGTAAGTCTGTTCAATTTGCATTAAATAGAAGTAAATAAGAGGCAGTAGTAATTACAAGTAAAGAGGGAAAGAAGAATCATTTAGGCACTCCTTGGTACTGTAATTTGTAAAACTTACTTTCCCACTGCACTAGTAATAACCAGGACTGTTACCAAAGCATTTTTTTGCAAACAACTGAATTTTAAGACACTTAATACCAGTTGCAATAATAAATTTACAACTCTTTGCATTTAGATGCAGGATTGCTTAGAGACCTTTTTCAAGGATCTGTGTCTGAGGATAAACTCTGCATTCTTGCTGAGAGGCAGCTTAATGAGTTGATGCATGCAATGACATGTAAGTGTGCTACCTCTCCAATTTCTGGGAAGACCTTGTACTATCAATTCCATTGTACTATCACCAGTTTTTACATAGTTAAAAATACACTGGTTACTCTATTAGTTAACAGGAAGTGTGTAACCAAAACCCCTAAATAATGATCTTCTGAAGTTTGAAGGTGTTTCTGTGTCCTAGTAATCACTAGCCATTAATATGATAATCTTCAACATTGTGCAGAGAACTGCCTTCCTGGCTTAGTTCATACTCTGCTTTGGAAAAGTTGTGAATGAGGTCTGACTCCATGCTCCCACTGCCTTCCCCCTCCTTTGTTAGCTGTGTGAAATGCAGCTCTGGATTTGTGCTGAAATCTGCAAATATTTGGAAAGGTTTTAATTATTAAAAAACACTAGAAACTGAATACTAATGTGTGCAGGAGGATGTATTTTATTGGTAAAAGTGACATCCCGGCATAATTTTTATGATGCTTTCAGTTGTTAATGAAACCACTGTGTGTATGAAGAATTTGAACAGTGGAATACATTTGTTTGTTTTGTAGTTGGCAAAGTACAAGCTATTGTTTACTGCACTTGTTCAGTTTACCCTGAAGAAAATGAACTAGTAGTGAAAAAAGCACTGGAAGCTGGAGTGGAAGGAAATAAACTTCAACCATATAGGTATGGGATGAGTAGTTTTGTCTGTGGAAAAATTATAACTTTAAGTGGTAGTGTAATTCTTATCCTAGACTGATCTGTGTCTTGCATTAGATTAACATTTTAAATAGTTTTTTGCTGCCTCTCAGTACTCTCATAACATCAAAAGGAATGGAATAAGCAGCATCCTCTTGACTTTTTAATCTAATTTTCTTGTTCCCATCTGAAATTGAGATGGGAGGAAAACATTGCTGGTTGGAAATACCATTGTGGTGAGCTCCTGATAGAGCGCTTTCATCCTATCAGTATGCAGAGAATGAAGCTAATGTAAGGTAAAATGGAGACTAGAAGTCAGGGAACTTGCTAGCAGTTCAGCTTCTGAGGTAGAATGGTAAGTTCCAAAGGAAAAATAAACCAAGTCTTAAAATATGAGAATATATAATATAGAAGACTAAGAACCTCTGCTTTAAGACTGCTTGTCCCTGTATTCAGTTGAATGACTTTTTGAGGGGGACAGGTTACAGTAAGAGAACACTCTGTGCAATCATAACAAGTACAAATACATATGAAAAAAGGATGCGTTTGTGTATACTTTGTACAACCTGTCAGCTGGAGCAAGTGTTAAAAGACTGATGGGTACTTTCTGGATTTTCCTTTTGGTCACAGTAGATAAAGGCAAACAGTTGGCACTTGCTTGCACATGAATATAATAGTTGATTACAGGTTAAAAGAGTTTGTTGCCAAGAGCACAGGAGAGTAATACTGTATTTTTAGATTTATATTATCTTATGTGATGGTAATGACTTGGCCATTGTGGGGAAAGGTACTGTGGTTTGAGATATTATTCAGTGTATTTAAATTTTGCATGATTAAAATGGTAAATGTTAACTGTAGCCAGTCCACAGCATTTTAAAAAGAGGTATGTTACACATAATGTTAAGATATGGTACAGCAAAATGCATCTTTCCTGCAAATCACTGAGAGAAAAGAGCAGCCTGCTTAAAATTTTACACTAAATGGGATGAAATCAGGGTATGTCTTGCCAATGATGTTCTGCTAGCCCAAAAGTGTTTATGGACTCTTGCTGCAAACTGTGTTTTCCCCTGGGATTGCAATTTTGTAAACTCTGTCATGTGTTGACCTCCATGCACCTATTACTCTATGGGGAGAACTAGGGTGACCTTGGAACATAATGGTCCCTGAATGATTTGAACACAAATAATAC